TTTTTTTTTTTTTTTTCTAACTTGTAGTCCTGTCTGCCTCTTGAAGTCCAACATAGATTGTAGAGTACTTGCATTCTTTGTGCAAATTTTGGGGATGTGACAAAGAGAAGCATTCTATTGTAGGTCTTTAGTTCAGCATCACTAAATCATGGACGTGTCAGAACTAAAAGAAAATCAAAGTTTAAACAGTTTAAAGAAATGCAGTTTCAAAGAGTATCTCAGGAGGGAAATCTCTGGAGATGACAGTTGGTCAGGAGAGAGACTTTTCAATATCTCCTTTTTTGTAACTGAAAAAATGTTTATGATATACTTATATTACCTATTAAATAAATTTTAACTGTAAAAAGACATGAAAGAAAGGAAATTCTTTTGTTTCTATCCAGTAAGTAGTAAATAAAACACAGCCTTTAAAAGCAAAACACCAGGGTGCCTAGGTGGCTGTCATTAAGCATCTGACTTTGGCTCAGGTCATGATCTCATGGTTTGGGAGTTCAAGCCCCACTTCAGATAAAAAGAAAAAAAAGTGTGAAGGTGAAGCCCGCTTCTCTCTCTCTCTCTCTCTGCCCCTTGTGAGATTCTCTTTCTCTCTGCCCCTCGCTCACTTGCACCTCCACTCCCAAAATAAATAAAGAAAAGAAAAACACCACCACAACCTTTAGAGGCATACGATACAGCACAAAACTGATATAGCCAAGTATTCTATGAGTTATTTTCTTGGTTCTTAGTGCCCAGTCCTCTTTCCTTATCTTTCTGCCAAATCCCACCCTTTCTCCAGAGGTTAACTTACATTTCACCCCACAAATAATCTTTGCAAGCGTAAGATTCTCTGGTTGACATTAATGCTATCGGAATGGCAGATGAATATGCCTTGCATCTCAGTAAGCTTTGCAGTTGTGAGCTGCCCTTGCCACAGGCAGGCAGGAATATGTAGAAATATGCTCTCTCTCCCCAAAGCTTTCCTGCCCATAGTAGGTGCTCCAGTGTATCTTAAATTAACCTCACTTGAATAGTAAATGTCCATAAATGTGTACTTCTTATGTGATTGAAACTTTCTTAAGGCATGTAAACATTTAAAATCGTCGTCTTTTGGAGCACCTGGGTGGCTCTGTTGGTTGGTTAAGCATCTGACTTTAGCTCAGGTCATGATCTTGCGGTCTGTGAGTTCGAGCCCCGTGCCCAGCTCTGTGCTGACAGCTTAGAGCCTGGAGCCTGTTTTGGATTCTTTGTCTCCTTCTCTCTGCACCTCCCCCACTCGCTCTCTCTCTCTCTCTCAAAAGTAAATAAACATTAAAAAAATATTTTTTTAAATAGCCTTCTTTATTTTTTTTTGAAGTTTATTTGGGGGAGGGGGGAGGGCAGAGAGAGAGGGAAAGAGGCTCCCAACTCAAGCAGGCCCAATGTAAGGCTCAAACTCAGTAACTGTGAGATCATGACCTGAACCAAAACTAAGAGTTGGAGGCTTAACAGACTAAACCACTCAGGCACCCCTAAGATAGTCTCCTAATAATCTTTTACATTAATGCACTTTAAAATGTTTTCATTTCATAGCCTGTCTTCAGCTATGAAGGTTTCGACTTCATTTAAAGATGAGGCCATATTCTTTCAGGCTGATATTTGGTCACTCTGCAAAATGCAGAGAGCACACGCATACAGGCTTTTCTTGCCGGTAAGGACTTCTAATAGCTTTCTAGTTGAGGACACATTCGGACCCACCCAGACTTCTGTGTCACTGCTTCTGCTTACAGGAGCTCCATGCCAAATCCGAAACTAGTCTGTGGCCCTGAACCTGCTTTGTCCTTTTCTTATCTCTCCCCACTTCCTCATCATTCCTCCTTCAAGCCTGAATCTTGCCTACCCCCAAAGCTCCTTTGCCCTCCAGCTTTTCCTCAGGCACCAGCACACCCATTCCCTTTCTTTGAGATTCAGATTGACGTGTCTGCCAGCCTGCTTACCAGCCACCTCCACTTACTTGTTCTTTAGGCGCCTCCAAATAATTTTGTCTTAAAATGTTTATTTTCTGCCTCAGTTATTACCTGCACTACCTTGTCACTTTTCCCCCTCCACTAATGTAATAAACATGGTCAGGAGAGCCCCCTTTGCTTTGCCCCACATTTCTTTTCTTTTTTTTTTTTTTTAATGTTTATTTTTGAAGGAGAAACACAGAGACCGAGCACCAGTGGAGGAGGGGCAGAGAGAGAGGGAGACACAGAATCCAAAGCAGGCTCCAGGCTCTGAGCTGTCAGCACAGAGCCCGACGCAGGGCTCGAACCTACGAAACTGCGAGATCATGACTTGAGCCTGAGCTGTCAGATGCTTAACCAACTGAGCCACCCAGGCACCTCTCACATTTCTTAAATCCAGTAGTTTATGGAAAACAGATTGCTTTTAGTTGCTGAAAACTTAGTGACATGAAAAATCAGAAACAACGGAAATTAAACAAAAAACATGACTTACTTTGTCATGGGGTTTGGATTTGAATCCAAATGGCTGGCTCTGCCATTAATAACTTTTGGCACCTTGAGCAAGTTCCTTTGCCATCTGTGACTCAGTTTTCTCATCTATGAAATGGGAGTAACGATAGTACTCACCAGAGAGGGTTGTTGTAAGAACTGAATGAGTTAACAGTGTTTGGCATAGAGTAAGGTTTGTTAAGGTTTTGGCATAGAGTAAGGTTTGGCATAGAGTAAGGTTTGCACGTTTGTTGGAGGGAGAGTGACAGAAAGAACAGGCGACATTTAGAAGTCAGTGAGAACAGGACAGTTTTAAAAATGAAGTTTGATTGGAAATGTGAGAAACTAGAGATTGCTTTCAAAGCAGTATAGTAATAGTACTTTTAGAAAAAAGTTATTAGTGAAAAATATAAAAGTAAAGGCTTTAGATCGTTTAGCGAAGTGTTTCAGACTTTAAAAACCCCATGCTCCTTTAAATCTCAAGCACTTTAATTCTATTTGACATGTAAGGTAAATAGTCCAATCTAAAAAAAAAAAAAAAAAAAAAACAATGGCATAAAGCTCTGCTTTATTTTCACACCATCTCCTCCCTTGAGAATCCGTGTTTAACTGGTAGAATAAATAAATTTGTGTAAACTTCTCCCAAGTTTATAGTTTCATTTAAGTTTTCACAAGTCATTTTAAAACATCTTAGGAAAATGTAGGTAAAAGTATTGAAAATAGTCAGTTGATTTTAATGAGGCAGATGCCTGTAGTAAAAATATGAATATGTGCCTAAAATACAAATTAATTGGGAAAAAATAGTTACATTAAATTGACAGCTTGTTGCCATTTCCTCATGTCATAATATTTATGAAAGTAAGCTCACGGTGGGACAAATTTCTGCCTTCCTAAGTTTTCCATTAAAATGCGGTTTTATTCTGAAAACCCATAATTCTATACTTGCTCCATTGCACATTGCTAGCTTAATATATTTTTAGGAGAAAAAAAAAAGAGCGTCTTTTTGGATACGTGGCATTGTTCACAGGTCTTTGATTTCCTAGTAGACTGTCACTAATGACAGTTTATCGATAAGGCAATATTAGGACTTTTGATTCATAATAAGTCCTTAAAATAATTTCCTTGTAATCCCTTAAAAAGAATCCCAAAAGCATTTCAGTGTTTGAATTCTAACAAAAACTCATTTGTAAAAAGGGGATTTTATGTAAAATATTTTAAGAGAATGTTTAGCATTAAAAGGGTATGAAGTTTCAGTTAATGAAAGATGAATGAGTTCTGGAGATCAGCTGTGCAGCAGTGATGATAAATACTGTACCGTATTGTATGCTTGAAATTTGCTGAGAGTATAGATGTTAGGTTAAATTTTGACACACACACGGTGGTAAATAACTATGTAGAGGTGATTGAGAAGTGATTTAGCTTGATTGTGGTGATCTTTTCACAATGTGTACATATATCAGAACATCAAGTTTTTGTAAGTCAGAGATAATAACGTTAAAAAAAAATACAACATGAACTAATCTGGTTGCTCTGATAATGTCAGAACATATTTGAGAGATTTTTTTCTGCCAAAATTAAGTAGAGCGAACATTTTTTCCTTTTTTAAATTGTGAGAGATTTCCAATGTACCGAAAAGAACAGAGACTAAGTAAGGAACACTCACCTAAGTCATCCTCTAGCTTCAACAAATTTTAACAATTATACACGTGAGGCTTTTTTTTTTTCCTGAGGCTTTTTCTTTTAAGAAAACACGTGTGGTAGAAGTCCCTTGTGTACTCCTTTCTTATCCCGTTTTCTTAACTATAGATCCCCATAGATCTCCACCACTGTGATAAATTTAGCATTTATATTTTCTATGCATGTTTTTGCACTGTTACTACATAGGCATTTATTCTTGGCTTAGAAATAGTGTTATTTTGCATATTTTCAAAGTCTGTATAAATTGCGCCACTTATAAAAGTTTCATTTATGTAAATTATAATTTTCCACTGTACTTTTGAGAATAGTTTTTGAGATGATGTTATATTGATTTATGTACCTTTAGTTCATTTTTTTAAAAAAAATTCTTTTTAACATTCATTTTTGAGAGACAAAGAGGCAGAGCATGAGGGGGGAAGGTGCAGAGAGAGAGGGACACACAGAATCCGCAACAGGCTCTGAGCTGCCAGCACAGAGCCCAACTCTGGGTTCCAACTCAAGAACAATGAGATCATGACCTGAGGCCAAAGTCAGATGCTTAATGACTGAGTCACCCAGGTGCCCCAAGTTCATTATTTTTTAAATTTTACTTTTACTTTTACTTTTTATTTAGACTGCTATGTAGTATACCTTTGTGTAAATAGATGCTTTATCTAGTCTTTGATAAATAACTTTGGGTGTTTCTAATTTGTTGTCATTACAGTGCCGTACTGAACATTGTGTGTGTGTATGTGTGTTATGCACATATACTAGAGTTTTTAAAGGTGGTTTTCAAAGTGTGTTCTGGGACCCCTTGAAGAATCATTCCCCTCCCAATTCTAGACCTTTTCAGGTAGTCTGTGGGGTGAAAACTATAATTACCCCCCCTCTCATTCTGTCGTAAGTGTATAGTAGAGTTTTTCAAAGGGTACATGATGTGTGATATTATAAAACATCTGAAAGTAGAAGCTGATATGAGAACCTAATTGTCCTCTGTTAGATTTGCAAAATTGTAAAACAGAGTCATTCTTTTTACTGAATTTTGTTTTGTTTTGGAAAATAGTTATTTTCCATAAAAATACGTTATTTATAATAACGTAATTGTTTTGTTGTTGGTAGTTTTAAATATTTTTTAAATTTATCAATTTTAATTTCTAATACAACAATTATCAGTGGATATAACCTATTAAAGCAAATAATTTTTAAGAGTGGAAAGAGGTTTTGAGACCAAAAGGTTTGAGGACTGCTGCTGTAGGTAAATACTTACGTGTGGAAAGGCTGGTTGTACGGGATGCACAGCTTTAACCACACCTCAGACTGTTGTGTTTACACCACTTTATTTTTCAGTAGAGGGGAAGAGTTCCTGGTCCTCCACATTCAAGGTAACATATGTTATCAGATTTGAACAAGCTTTGCCAGCAGGATGGATGTTAAAATCTCATTGTGAATTAAATTTGCTTTTTCCTGATTACTAGTAACACTGGGCATCTTTTTATTATGTTCATGGACCATGTTTGTAGTTTCTCTTCTGTGGAAAATTTTTTTATTCTGTGCCATTTTTCTCATCCTGCTAATTGTATTTTTCTTCCTGATTTATAGGAAGATTTCTTTCCTTCTTCCTTCTTTTCCTTCCATTCTTCCTCTTCCTCTTCTCCCTCCTCCTCCTCCCCGTCCTCATCCTCCTCTTTCTCCTCTTTCTGGTTACTAATCCTTTGTTGGGTAACATGCATTAGAAAAATCTCACAGTCTTG